CCATGGATTTTCTAATATAGCATCTGCCTGACTTCCTCTTTAACTTTTCAAAAGTAGCTTTTATCCCACTGCAATTCTTTGAAATGAGTAGCATATTTTATTTAGTTGTATAATGTGGAAATTGTTTCTCAAAAGCTTGGTTGTAATCTTCATTTTTGACAGCAAAGCCTTTTTGTTTGATGTCTTTCAGTCTCTGTTGTGCAATTTCGTTTAAGGGGTTCTGTTTGTTTAGCTTTTAGTGCATTGTATTATTATTATTATTTAGATTGTGTTTTAAAATAAAGATATAATCTAGTTTGAAGGTGGTGGTTAGATTCAGGAACTTTTTGTAGGTAAGTTTTGTAATCTTTTTCTGATTACCTTATTGATGTTTCTTCTAAAATGTGAGAAAGTGGGAAGCCATAAAAGAGAATTCTGAAACTGAAACTGAAATTGTATTCAGTTGGTTTTCATTTTATTAAATTAGAAGAACTGGAGGAGTTCAATATAGTATTGTCAAGAAGGCTCTCACTTTTTGTATTGTACTCAAATATTGAAGACTAAGTCATGCTACTGGTTTTTTTGATTTGTTTTAATAACAATGCCTACTAGAGATGTGAGCTGCATTTCAGTAATAAAACTTTTCTAATAACCTGTTTTCAACTCTCTAAGTTGAATTATTCAATTTGAGGATTCTTTCTAGAAATTTTTAAATCATTGTTTTGAAAATGATTATCCAGGTTGTGACCAAAATGAATTGTTCTCTCTTCTGCACATCTTCCTCTGCCTGATAACTTTATGGTTTATCATCAGTTGGCAAAGAAAAACCTATGGGAAAATGCCATTTCATAGGCTTGTATAGCACTTCCTATTCAATAACGCAAGCAGTATTGATTTTGTGGAAAGAAAACTGAGAAAGGAAATAAAAGGTGGGCACAGATGGCTACTTTCTGGTTTTGACCACTCTTGTTTCTGCCCACTAGGCTAAATCTGTGCCCAGTTTCATAAGGTCGACTTCTTAGGACATTCTAGCCATACCATGTAAAGTGGAGGAGTACAGGAGATGGTATTCCAAGATGTTTATCTATTTATAATTTCAGTGTCTAATGCTGACCATTTGAGAATTATTCTATTGTAGAGTACCTCATTCCTCTCCTCCCTTCTTGTTCTTGTGCGTGCATCTTATGTTATATGGAATTGGTCATGTTGAAAATGCTGTAATCTCTTTTAGTTTAATTCTTTTACTTTAATCTGTTGCTAGTAAGAGGGGGATACTCATGGTCCTCAACTTACAACTATCTGTTTGGCAACTCTTTGAAATTACAATGACATTGAAAAAAAATATTTACGATTGTCGGTCCTTGCCTTACAATCATTGCAGCATCCCCACAGTCATATGGTCAAAATTCAGGTGCTTGCCAACCAGTATTGTTAGTGTCTCAGGGTCATGTGATTGCCATTTTACAACCTTCCCAGCCAGCTTCCAACAAGCAAAGTCAATGGAGGAAGCCAGATTCATGTAATGACACATGATTCAACTTAAGTACTGCAGTGATTTGCTTAATAACCATGGCAAAAAGGTTGGAAGACAATCACCTTACTTAGCAACAGAAATTCTGGTCTCAATCATAGTTATAAGAAAAGGACCACCGATATGTACCACATAATCATACCACAATAATACCACAAATTGTGGTGGTGCAGTGTTTAGAATGCAGTACTGCAGGCGACTTTTGCTGACTGCTGGCTGATTGCAATTTGGCAGTTCGAGTCTCACTGGCTCAAGGTTGACTCAGCCTTCCATCCTTCCGAGGTGGGTAAAATGAGGACCCAGATTGTTGGGGAAAATATGCTGACTCTATAAACGGCTTAGAGAGGGCTGTAAAGCACTGTGAAGTGGTATTCAAAGTGCTATTGCTAAAATCAGCTTTCTTTTTCCTTCTTTACTCTTTTGTTTTGTTCTAGGTCAGGGGTAGGGAAACTTGGCTCTTTTACCACTTATGGACTTCAAGTCCCAGAATTCCTAAGTGAGCCATAAAAGCTTCCCCATCCCTGGCCTACTGATTTTTCAGTTGTGGGGGAAATCAATTTTTGACTTGAATGGGACTGTTTAATATACAAATGTAGGACATATTCTTTATATGTCCTTTATATGTCCTACATTTGTATATTAAACAGTCCCATTCAAGTCAAAAATTGATTTCCCCCACAACTGAAAAAACCAGTAGGCCAGGGATAGGGAACCTTTTATGACTCACTCAGGAATTCTGGGAGTTGAAGTCCATAAGTGATAAAAGAGCCAAGTTTTCCTACCCCTGTTCTAGGTGGACATGAAGGTGTCTTAGCGTTATCAGAAAGGGTTCCCTACTCATTTTAATCAACTTTTGTACATGAATCTGAGGAAAGGAAGGTGCCATCTTGTTAGTCCCTCCCAGATAGCAGCATACACGGTATTTTGGACCTGCCTGCTGAGATTACAGATTAAGGAGAAGTCTCCTTTTTGTGCTGCCTGGGGAAACTTTTGTACTCAAGAAGGCTATGATAGAAACATAGGAGCTGTTCAGTAGATTGTGGCTTCAGAATGCTTCTATGTTCTTTCAGCCTATTTCCTGATTCTCAGTATTGTAGAAGGCCTGGCTGTGAGATGCTTGACACTGGCTTGGCAGGATGTTTCCTGCTGCATCCTGGCTGTGTGTGTGTGTGTGTGTGTTGGTGGTGGCAGCAGAAGGGGTCATGCCGAAGAGGAAAAGTGGAAATAACTAAAGATAGCTTTGTGGCTGAAGATAGCCTTTCCACTGTTTATCTTTTTCCCCTCGAGCCCTCCCTGTCTGTTTTGAATGATATGAAAGAAATCTCCTTTCTTGTCCCGAAGGGCTTTTCCAGTGGACCTCTTATTATTGTTGCTTGTTGTGCCGATGCTCTGCAGTTTTGGAGTCCAGTTTATACTTGCTTTTTTGTTTGTAGCAGCTGGATCCCATTCACATGCAGATATAAGGTACAAGTGGAAGAAAAAGCAGCTTTCAAACATGTGATCAGTCCAAGAATTTGTGAAACACAGGAATACCAAACTTACATATAATTTCAATCAAACCTTGTTCTTGGTTTTCTCCCAAGCGTTCTTGATGAACAAACTGATGAGGAGTTCACAGACAAATTTTGAATTATTGCTATTATTATTACTCAGTTTAAACAACTAATGCTTCTGATCTACTGTAGATTACTCAAGCATCAATTAGTAGGTTCTGATTTACCTTCTGTCCTTCCTCTGTAATCCCATCACCACTGATTTTGGCTGTTGTGAGAATTAGTTTTCACACAGTCACACATAAATACAAAAGAACAGGCTGCTACCCACACAAGGAACAAGTACATCTTCTGCCAACAAAAAAGATAATTGCTTTTAGACTTGTGTGTAGAGCAGGCAGGAGCAAGCAGTACAAGAAACTGAACATTGGCTGTTGTATAAGCAGAGCTTGCAGTCACTGGAATTTGTTTATAATGGGTTCATAGTTTGGCTACAACAAGCCAGCTTATCTGAGCCTTCATGTCCTGCAAAATATATTCTTGGTGGAATTTTGTTTTGCTAGCTGAGAGAGAGGCCTATTAGTTGTTTTCAACATGGAGATCTACAGTACTGTACATGCTGGCTGGGGAATTCTGGGAGTTGAAGACCACATATCTTAAAGGTGCCATACTGGGAAGGCTTTCAAGCACTTTTATGAACAGTAGCAACTATCTCAGTTGTTATGTCAGAGGAAAGGCCAAGGGATCATTGTGATATATTTGTGTGCCACTGGTCTTCCAGAAAGGAATCAAAAGCAGCATTGAAAAATACATTATCCCACTCACAATGGTACTATGTTAGACGGAGAAATATGGCTGCTCATTCTCATGCAAAATATCAGCAGGACTTTGAATTCAAGTTTAATATTTACAACACATTGATTTAAAGGCCTAACTAAACATTTTGTTCATCACAAAGTAGGATAAACTCAGGACATCAAAGGAAAAAGAAATGTTTTCAGCCTGAAGAGTAGCATCTGGCAATGATGATGACATGAGATCACTGAAGCAGGGCTCTCTGGCTTGGGCAGAATTTTAAGGGGCAAATCACCAATTTTGTCTCTTAATGCTTTAATTTTCAGGAGTTTCTCAGGGTTTTGAAATGGGTGAATTAAAATATTGCCAGTTTTAAGAAACCACATTTGCCATTTAATGGTCTTCCATATCCTCAAGAGTCATCAAAGAGTATTGTAGGGCCTGATGATGGAATCTGGAGAGATCTATTGGTCTATGACCTTTTCAGTCTGCTTTTTTACTGCTCTTTTGCTTACTCTGTGTGGGATTCTGTCTACCTTTGAGACTCAAGGGTGTTATTTCCTGCTATTTAAACAGCACTGAAAAAAAAGTGGTAGGCATCTAATCTGCTCATTTTATTTCCGCCTTCTCATCTTTGATGTCTCTCCTCTTCCTTCTTACCTGGGGACATGCTCCATGTACCTGGCCAAATGCGCAATGTTTAATAGCAAGCAAAATGCTTTCAGTTGAGTTGTAGGATGGTTCTATAGGTTGGTTATCACACATTTCAGAAGGTATAATGGTATTTCTTATCAGCATATTATCTGCGGCTTGCTATTTCAATGATTCAATCTCGTTTGCAATGGGTGTAAATCAAATTAATAAATAGGCTCATAATAGCATGAACCGGAGATTGAAATCAGAGATAAATGCAGGTGTTTGGATTCAAGAGTGTGAGGGGTCAAATTTTGTTATTGTTGTATCCTTCTTTCCCACTCATTTTCTGCTTGAAGGCCAGGTCATATCCTTTATTTGATTAGATCTGGCCTGAAGAAATATGGTCAATTCTACTGAAGACTGATTTTGTTTTAAATGCAAAGAATTATTTGCTCTTCTGCTCTTTTGCAGAATTACTTTGGCTTTGCAAGTGTTTTCTGCAGCTGTTGTACGGATGCAAATCAGCAATCATCTAGTGATAATTTTCTTCTGTTTTTCATCTCCAGGCACAAACCATGAATTACGTTGGACAGTTAGCAGGGCAGGTCTTTGTGACAGTGAAGGAGCTCTATAAAGGATTAAATCCGGCCACGTTGTCTGGATGCATTGATATCATTGTTATCCGCCAGCCTAATGGAAACCTCCAATGTTCACCTTTTCACGTACGCTTTGGAAAAATGGGAGTTCTGCGTTCCAAGGAAAAAGTGGTAAGGAACAAAAAAAAAAAAAAAATCAGCTTGATTTTTCTTTTTCAGATTACTCTTTGTCCAGAATATTGCAAAAAGAAGGGTTTGCATTTGTTAAATTGGTAAGATGTTGAATATGGGCGCAAGGATTGGAACAATTGGAACCAAAGGTGCTTTTTTAAAAGGCAACTGGACTTGTTCCTTGAAGAACAAGTTTTGCTTCTCATCCAAGAAACTTATTGGATCAGAAGTGAACTGTCTTCAAGGAAAAACAAAGTCCAGTTGCCTTTTTTTAAAAAGCACCTTTGGGACAACCATGACGTGGATGGCTGAGACTCTCTGTAGACTTTCTATCATTTTGCCTGGAAAAACTCCCACCCTCCTATTTCATTTGCTTTCCAAAAGGGCATGGTGGCTGCAGCCATAAATAGCAACTTGTCAATCCAGCCTATGACACTCTGGAGGAGAGCTCAGGTGTGTGTCTGACAGCCATTTAATCTTTTTAAAAAAATACAGTTGATCTATAACACTTGAAGGAAATCAAATGATAATGAGTCCAAATAAAGAAACACTGCCTGGGGATTTCTTAAAAAGAAGTTATCAGTATTTTCAGAATTATGTGAGTTATAACTGCTGTGAGTCAGACTGATTGTTTACTCAGGAATCATTTGTTGTGCATAAGGGCTTTCATCAGCTATCTAGCAATGAATGCTTATTTAGTTACTCACCTCAGCCTATCCCTTGATTAATGACTGCTTTAAGCTCTTTTATGAACTTTATATAATGTGGTTTTAACCACGTACTGCAGAACATGTATTGAAACAAGTAGATTTAAATGATCTTAAATCAGATGTCACTTGAGGTAAGTAAATGATTCTTAATTTTTGCTAGATTATGGTCTTCGCTCCTAATGTTACTTGGTGTAGTATAATGACTAATAACATCTGAGAAGTTCTGGATTCAGACATTATTATCTGAGTCTTTCACAGAACTTAAGGCAGTTTTTCCTCATTTTTAAAGGCATACGAGCCGCAATGGCACAGTGTTTAGAATGCAGTACTGTGGCCTACTTCTGCTGACTGCTGGCTGCCAGCAGTTCGGCAATTCGAACTCACTAGACTCAAGATTGGCTCAGCCTTCCATCCTTCTGAGGTCGGTAAAATAAGGACCCAGATTGTTGGGGGAAATAGGCTGACCCTGTAAACCGCTTAGAGAGGGCTGTAAAGCACTGTGAAGCGGTATATAAGTCTAAATGCTGCCATTGCTATAATCAACCTTAATAGAAATTGCTGACATAATATGAAGTGTTTTAACAACTTGGACCCTGTTGCTATAAAATGGGTAAAAAGTTCTTTCACTTTCATTCTTTCACATGACATATTTTCTTGAGGATATTTTTTTAATCCATGTACTTTTTGCATTCTGTCTTTCTCAAGGTTGACATAGAAATTAATGGAGAATCTGTGGATTTGCACATGAAATTAGGAGACAACGGAGAAGCATTTTTTGTAGAGGAAACAGATGACAAAGAGGTGAGACCAGCCCACCATATGTATTTTGTTTGTCATATTTTATAGTGTACAAGGGAACACAGAAATCAATAACAAAACAAGGGATTGATGTTTGTTTTAAGAAATCAATTGTAGGATTATCTACTATATTAAGTTTTTTTTTGTCATATAGGACTAGATTTATGTCTAAAATAGCCACTAGTGCACATTCTTCAACTTATTTCAAAGAACTATGTTAAGTAGTTGCTAGACATTATGGAAGAAAATTAGGGTTTTTTAAAATAATTTTCTCTAGTTTTCTCTAGTAGATAAGCCATTAGCAGAGGAAATCTGGCATAGAATATAATGTATGCATATGATGAATACATTAAATCATCAGTTTTTTTGCCAAGTTTGCAACATCGTTAACATTTAAAATCAAGGATTATCAGGGCTCACTTCCTGGCAAGCCACAGCTTTTAAATTTGAGATATTTTCTTGATTTGTACATTTTGCTGAGTTTGCCTTTTCCAGAAGAGTTTCTGTCAAGAGGGCTTTTGGAAAGGATGGATATGTGTGCATATATGTGTATTTGTAATATTTAGGTTTCTGTATATATACACATACCTATTCTGCCGGCCTTGAAAGATTCACTGGTTCAGAACAGATTTGGAGCATATAAATTCACTATTGTTTCATTTGAGTTGACAGATGCCAGGTGTCAACAGACTTGTGTTTCCTTTCTTTAAGGAGGCAATTCCATACCACTTGGCTACATCCCCCATTTTGTCCGAGGGATCTTCTCTCATGGAATTACAGCTGAAGAGAAATTCTGCTGATAGGTTAAGGAGCATGGACACTGCTGGTCCTTCACAGTTACCTATCCCTACTTCTCCTTCTGCCCCTGAATCCATGATTGCAAGTTGTTCTGTCAAGAAAAGAAGGAAGAGGAGAAGGAAATCCGCCCATAAAATAGACACTTCAAAAAGAGACGAAAATGCCGATACTACTGAAGACGAAAACATGTTCCCTATAGAAATGAGTTCCGATGAAGAAAATGAGCTGCTAGATACTACTTCCAGGTATTCATCTAGAGGGTCTAATTCATTCAGTGTTAATTTTTAATTTCAAGTTGAACAATAGTTTAACATTTAAATATTTTAAATACATTTTTTCTGCTTTTTTATAGTACAAGAACTTTAGAATGCTTATACATTGTAGCTTTTATTTTGATTAAAGTCACAGGATTACAGTATTATGGTTATCTTGTGGAGTTTAGTTGAACAGCTAAAGGTTATGCTTGCTGTCATTTATGTTACATTGTTTTTTTTTTTTAAATAAAGTTTTATTTGGGTTTTCACACATACAAAATATAAGTAAAACATCTTTTTTGAAAATAGCATGCTCCCGGGATGAACTTCTTTATACAGACACAAAACTCAATTTCATGCTCCTTTTTGTGTTCTATTCCATATCTTATACTATTCTACATTTTAATCATACATTGTTTCATATTTTCTAAAATTATTTCTGTTTCTAATATAACAATACTATCTTATGTACCTTTGCAGAATCCCTTTTTCCATTAAATTTTCACCCATTATCTCTAAATAGGCCCTGTTTCTCTATATTTTGTTTCTGTCCTTTATAACTTCTTTTCCTTTCTTTCTTCCCTCTCATCTTCTCCCTCCCCTTTTTACCCCCTTGTCTCTCTACTTCTATTTCTCTCTTCTGCATTTCCCTCTTATGTTGCTTTCTGATTTTATACTTATTTTTCACTCTTTTTTTTTTTTTGGAGTTGTTTTTCCCAATCTTAAACTTTCCATTCTCTTTCCCCCCTTTCCTTTTTTCCCCCCACCTAAGATTACTTGTTCATTAAAGATGGCTTCTTCTTTGTCGCAATCTTCTTGTTCTGCAGGCATTTCTTGTTGTTTCTTATAGTTCCAAATCTCCATTTCTAAAAACTGAAATACGAAGCCAAAAGAACCTCTCCCTTCTTGTGCATCTTCTTTGTACTTTTAAAGTTCCATTTTCAGTTCTTCTAAAAGTGGAGCCATTTTAAACAGTTGTAAACAACCACCTGATTGATTTTAGTCATTCAGATACAATAACCAAAAATCCAGAAATCATCAAGTAATCCAAATAGTCCCGAGTTATTTCTTCTTATTTCTTTTTCCACTTTCTCTTCCTGGGGTTTTTGTTGCGATGTTTCAGTTAAAATTTATCTTTTGGAAGTCTTGTTGAGATTTTGCTGTAAGTTCTTTTTAATTCCAGGCAGTCTCCTCCCTTTCAGATCCTGCCCTTTTATTCTTTTTCTCTCCTTTCCTGTTTTCAAAAGCTTTTGATTATCCAGAAATTTTTATTATCCCTTTGACTTTTTATTTTCAGCATTAAATGCCTATTAATGTCAAAGTGGATTTTTTTCCAATTTCTTGCTTAAGTCTCTTAGCTGTCAGTATAGGAAAAGGAGAAAAAAAACAAAAACAAATCGTTTCCCTTTTCTCTGTCCTTCTCAGCTTAAAAATCTTCTTAGGGAACAATGTTATTTTTATTTTTTTAATAGTTTCAATTCCAGGGTACCTTATTTGTTGCTTTTGCTGTTTGACCCAGTCAACCAAAACTTTCTCTTCTTATCTTCCTCCTGCACATTCTTTTCGGGTTGAGTTCTTCTTTGTGGTGGCCATTTCTGACCACCGCTACAACCGCCTTCGGGAAAGGGAGTAATGGCTAGCTGGGGAGGAGAGATGCGGCTCTCCTCAACCCTGCAGGCAGTCTCCCCCTTCTTCACCACCTCTACGAGGTGGCTTAGCCCTGAAACCAGCCGGCTCGGGGCGCTCCAGTGGCGAGCACGGATCGAAGCCTTACAGAGACGAGATTTCGGTCTGTCGCCAAAGAAGCTCAAACCGGAAGTCCCCCATTTATGTTGTATTGTTTTTTAAAATGGTGTGTACATGAATTGCAGCATAGCATCCAAACAATTCGTTGCTCTGATTTTTGTTATTAAATCAACTTTCCTCATAGATAAGTTATTATCCCTATGGACTGCCTCCTACCATAGTTGTCCTTGCTATTGTAGATGCTAGTCTCCCTCTGTTTACTACTTTCCTTTATTTCAGAAGTAAATAAAGGGAATTATTTTTTCCTGCCCAAATGCACAGAAATATTTCATTCATCCATATAGGCACCTTTTTGAAAAATTAGCTGGAAATTTCAAAACACTCCAAAAACACTCATTCAGCTTCTGTGGCTGTTTTCTGACATTTATGTTTTGTAACAGCAAAGGGACCTAATATTTGCGACAAGTTCTTGAGTAAAAGGATTCATGAAATTGGATAAAGCTGATGAATGTGTAAAAATATTGTGCCTAGAGAACAGTGGTTGACTGAATATTTTCAACTAGCAGTTGAGAGATGCTTCATCCATGTTTCTTCAGAATCAATGTCTTCCTACCAATATATGTATTTGTAATATTTCACAATATTATTTAAAAAAAAAACATGCTCAGATGATCAAAATGTCTAAGTAAAGTTGCCTATTTGTTTTACCCCTCCCTCAGCTGATTGTGTTGTGGTACATCTGTAATTTTGAAGCATTATACTCCTGTACTCTTTCAAAATAAATTACTGTATCTCATTAAGTGAAAACAAGATGAAAAAAACAGCAAATAAGATAATAACACCACCTGTTTGCTCCATTGAATTTATAATGAACAATTACTAGAACATTTTAAAGCGTTCATCTGGAAAGAACTTCAGACATGATATATATGATATGATCAGGAATGGGCTTTAAACATTTTAGCAATGGGTTCTCTGCCTGGTTGCTGGGTGGGCGTGGCCATGGTGGGCATGGCCTAGTTGGCCTCCTGCAGCACGAAGAGGGGGGCGTTTTTGCCCTTCCTGGGCTCCAGAGGCTTTTCTCGAGCCTCTGGGAAAGCGAAAACAGCCTCCATGGGCTCTGGAAGCTTTCTGGAAGCCAGAAATAGGCCCGTTTCCGGCCTTCCCAAACTTCTGGGAGGCCTGTTTTTGCCCTCCCCAAACCTCCACATGTGCCTGCACCCAAAACCTCCACATGCGCCTGCACCCAAAACCTCCACATGCGCCTGCACCCATCCTCTAGCTAAGATTTTGCAGTTCAGAGAACCCCCAAATCCCACTCCTGGCTGGCCCCGCCCACCCAGGGAGGGGTGGGGCAGGGTGGGCGGGGCCAGCCAGGAGTGGGGTTTGGGAGTTCTCTGAACTGCAAAATCTTAGCAAGAGGATCTCCCGAACCCCTGTGAACCCCTAGCAGCCCACCCCTGGATATGATGTGTTGTAACATGATAATAGGTTTTACCAAGAATTCCTAAATCAGGTGGTTATGAGAAATGTAGAAAACACATTTTTTGCCAGAAAGTAGAATCCATTTTTAGCACATTTTTCTGAAAGCATCTAGAATCTTTCACAATAGCATCCATGGGTTTAAAATGCATTAATTTTTACATGTTTTTGTTGTACCATTATTACTGTATGCAATGCTAGATATGGGCATTTGAAACAAAACCCTTCTTTTTCTGTGTATTGTTCATCTTCAGATCATCTGTCCCTGATTTCTGCAGGGATGAAGACATCGGGGTGGTTTCTTCTATAAATGTGCTTGCTCATCCCCACTCAGATGGAGAATGGACATCCAGACAGAGGTACAATGCATGTTACCAGGATAAATCAAATAATCTCCATGATGAACCCTTTTCACGTATTCTTCCTTTTCAGACCTATTCAGCAATTAAAGGAAGGACAAGACTTTTCATGCTTCTGGATTTAATCCTATGAGCATCTCTCTGGTTTCAATTCCATTTCGACCATTTAAACTCCAGTTCAACACTTCCAGTTTCAGTCACACATTCAGGGCTCAGCTATATGTTATATGTGAATGTGTGTAAGCCAATTTCTTTCACCTCAAAACTGTGGGAAGATGAATTGTTTGGAACAGTTTTTAAGTTGGGAGCTGAGAAGGATTAGTTTAAGCTTTGTCCTTCTAACAGAGTTTGAATACAGATTTTCTATACGTTTCGTATGTAACAGGAATGGTTTGATCTCTCATCTTGTTAGGCTTAATTTCAGAAAACTGTTGGCCCAAAGTATCCATTTTTAGGTATAATGTTCTTTTCTTTGGTATAAACATACACAAAGCCTTTATGTCTCTTTAGGATTGAGTGCTGCTTCCTTTGAGGTGATTGTGTTACCACAAAGTATAATGGCGCCTGTGCTGTTTGCAGCTTCTTGTTAAGCATTTGTGTAGAGTGGTTTAGTGGTTTCTTGAACTTTATTCTGCCTTCCTGTGTCTTGCATAGAGCAGTGCTGGATCTTGTCATTTAGGAACTCACTTTTGTTTAACCCAATTTGCCTGTTTTCCAAGAGGCAGATGACAGCCTCAGCAACACGGGTTGATTTGAAACATATTGCAGGATAATGTGGTCTAATCGTTCTCTTTTTCCCTCCCCTCCTGCTATATTATACTATCCAGTAAACCTAGAACTTGCATAGGGAGGTCCTCTCATCTCACTGTTCCAGCAGAGGGAAGCTTATCTAGTTCTTGTCCTGACCGGACCTCCCACTGTCCTGCTGCAGACAGGTAGAACAGCCAGTTGCATATTTGGATTGGTGATTAACCTTTTAATACTGTTAACGGTATACAAAATGGGTGGACCTTTTCAAACTGATATCGTTTACTAACTCGTGGCAGGAAACTGGGAAGTCATTCATAAGGTTTTTGCCTGGGATTTTTAAGTCATAGTATTAATTGTACAAAAAGTATAAATCTCCCATCAAACAGTAGGTGGCATCTATGTCTGTCTGTCTGTCTGTCTGTCTGTCTGTCTGTCTGTCTGTCCATCCTTCTATCCCTCTATCATCTACCTACCTGCTCTAGATGCTGCACATAGATTTCATGGCACTTGTTGTTTTCTACTCCTTTTCCTTTCTTCAGAATTTTTTCTAATATCCTTCCTTTCACCTTGCCTGTAATTCATTAATTACTGCCTTACATTCTTGATTTTTCTGCCTTTCCAAAGTTGGGTTTTTAAACTCCAGGTTCCCGATAGTCCAGCCCTCTGTACTAGCGGAGAAGAGGGTAGTTTTTTTGATAGCAAGTCAGAAGATTTCCTCAGTGTTGCACAATCAATTGGATATTGTTTTTTTCTAATCGTACTATATTTTATATATATGGTATATGTCTCCAATCATACTTGCCAAGGGATTTGGGTGCAGAAATGAAACTTTTCTGGTTCTGAGGTGTTTTTTTTTTTCAGTGAAAAGAACCAATTTTGCACATACAATTTTCATGTCAGAAGAACTATTGACAAGGAAGTGTACAGTAGATCGCTCTTGGCTAGGAAAATGCCAGAATCTACTCCTTATATTAGCATTAAAACCAAACTAATTCAAAATATCTTTCTTACAGTAACAGGTTCTTACAATTTAACAGTTCTTAAAAAAATGTATGCATCCAATTTATAAGTTTATGAATATATGTAGCAATAGATTATTCTAGACCTCCAAAACAGCTGGGTGACTTTGAACCAGCCACTCTCATTCTCATCTCATGTCACAGGACTGTTTTTATTGGGGGGGGGGGGAATAAAAATAGGAGTATTACATATCTTTGCCACCTTGAGTTATTTATATTTATCAAAATAAAATAAAATTACAAGACAGATGAAATAGGTCATATAATTCTAGGATAAGAATCCTTTTTGAAGGAAAGTTAATTTAAAAGTGATTCATGGCTGTGCAGGACAAGACTGCACCACAGCCCCCAAGACTTCACTCAAATGCAAACTGTAGCCATCACTTTCAACAAAGAAAAGTTTAGCTTGATCTTGCAGCTACTGGTAGTTGTGGACGTTTTCCATCTCCGGAAGCTTACTGTCCCAAAAACGTTTTAAGGAAGCCAAAAGTGAGTTGTAGGTTTGCATGAAAAAAAAAAGTGTATAAATCAGAAACTGAAATGGTTCTGAAGCAAGAGAAATCCACGGGGGATTGGAAGTCCCCTAGTTAATGGCTTACATCCCTTTTAGGGCATGGGAAATCTCTAGACTGGCTGACAGCCTCTGTCACAAGGAGGTTTTGTGGCTGGGGTTTCCTTTAACGCTCACTGGCTGGTGTGCTTTTATAGATTCATAACTTCCTTCCTTCGGACAGCATTTGCTTCTCCCCCACCCCTTTTTTTTTTGGCCTGTGTCTGATGGGAAAAAAAATTACACTTCCCATTTCTGTGGTTGTTGAGTTTCATATCAGGAGTGACATTTGAGAGCAAACGGCCATCAGCTCTCTGAATAGGTTTCTTTATCCTTTGTTATTGCATCAGGTTCACGTATGTACACAAGCTGCTCACCTATATGTTTTCCACATTATGAAACAAGTTATAGCCATCCTTAAATATAAAGAAATGAAGAATAAGACTATACTTGAATTCATATTTACCCCGAGGCTATTATAATTTAAATGCATATTTTAATGATATAATTCTATATTCTGAAACATCAGTGCATTTCACAACCAGGAAAGTTTCTGTAATTTTCAGATTGTATCTAGAGTTTGTAAAAGTAAAACCCAAAGGACAATAAAAGTCTGTTTTTCTACTTCACTAGCTAGAGGAGGAGGAAAACATGTTGTAGCCATTTTCCTCCTTTTGCTTGCAATTCAAATTGCTGATTTTTTTTTGAAAGCAGGTTATAAAATCTAGCACTGATGTTGCTACCTCGTTTGGGTGATGAAATGTCTGCAAGGAAACAGCCAAACTTAGAGAGCGCCAAGGATCCCTCAGCATTTGTTCTAAGATAGCCTGTGCGAAAGGGATAGCTTTCTTCCTGGGGATTATTATTGCAACAGAAATAAATGCCGCCTGTAAATAAACATTTACAGTGTGCTTTCAGTTAGGGGTCTACATCTTCCAGGTTGTATTTTTTTGTTCTGTATTTTTTTTTTCTGGATTGAGATAGTGGGTCAGTTGCTTAGCCTAGTCCCAGCTACATTAAGATTTTTTTTTTCCCCGTCGTGCCACTGATTTCAATGAGCAGTTTCCATTCTTCCTCCTGGGTGATTTTACAGTGATTTTCCAGGGTAAAGGCCTATCTAGCTAATGAAGTTGTTTATTTTTTTCTGCTTTCCTTTCTTCTTGATGAAATTATATATACCACTGGCTATTAGTTTTCTTCCACCTTAATTTATCCATACTATGTGCCATTGAATAACCACTATATATCGTACCATTTTATCTGGAAATAGAGAGGATCAATGTTTGTAAAGCCCTTGTTTTTTTATGTATAAATGATATAATTTTGACTACATTTCTACTAGCATTAATAATTCATCCCTCCCTCCCTCCCATTGTGCCATGTTATCGTTGTGTGCACACTCTAAAAATTAAATGTAGGCACCAATTTCTTCCTTCTTCCTCAATAATTGACTAATGGTGCCATAACTAAGCAGTGCCCAAATTATACATACTTTAAACATGTAGTTTATTTACTCAACTTGCTCTTTGTACTGCAAGTCCTCTGCTATGGTGCCAGTCACATTAGTGATTCAAACGGATCGTTTTGTGTCAGCAATTTTATAAAATAGCCCCACTGAGTGAAGGGATCTGCATGGATTTCAACAGGAAAGACAACATGTTTTGATTTTGAAGCAGTTTGAGCTTAAAACACCCCATTTCAAGTTCAGACCGATTGTATGGTGTTGAAATGTTCTGTTTGAACAAAACCAGTCGTATTCTGAACTTGAAACAAGTTTCTTTTGATTTCAGAAGCCTGTTTCAAACTTGAGACAAAGCTGTTTGGGGTTCTGAATGTTCCAGTAAGATTCCGACAGCGTGTTTCAAATTTGAATCACCTGCCTGGAATTTAAAATGGGCATTTTGAGCTTGAAACCTTTTGTACAGTTATCCAAAGTCCTGTGCAATTCTGAGCTTAAGAGGATAAAAGTCAAGATACGCATACCCGTGTGCTGTTTTTCCTGTTTCAGGAGCCGCTGTCTCTGTTTGTGCACATTGCCCGTTCCCATATGTGTCTTCCTTTGCGTGGGCCTATACAATAATAGTCAGCATTATCTTTTGTTGACCTTGTTCAAAGAATGAGAAGAAGCCTTTCTGTTTTTTTCCTGGAGGGTAGAGGCATGGTCCTAAAGCTTTTATTTTGCTGTGATCTCTGGCAACTTCCTTTAAAGTGTGCATCCTGTTGAAACTAATACAATTTACCTTTGCATAAGACTGATTACTTGAAAACGTGTACTGTGCCCATTTGGCAAATCATCTGTTGAAAGGGGAAAAGCACAGTGAGTTTACTGTTTGTGCACTTGTACATGTTTCAGTGGCTATGGTGCGGTCATACATGTGGTTGAATTCCCAAAGGAAGTCTTTGGAAGTCTCTTTTCTATGTCAAACAGAAGAACTATTAGCTCTTTGTTTAGCTTCAGAATGTTGAATCTCCCTTTAGTTTAACATCATCTTAATTGCCTCCTCTGGCCAGCAGTTTGGGTTGTCTCTCGATCAAGACTTATATCCAAATTGATTTAGTCGGCTTAAGCCCATACAGTATTGGCACTCAGAATAGAAAATGGAGCAGCCTGCTTTATGGTCATGCTCATCCCGATTCTTCCCTCTTCTTCCTGCAGCCCTTCAGATTCGCGACCTCTCACTCCTAAAAGTGATTCTGAATTAGTCAGTAAACCTCTGGAAAGAAGCATTGCGAACAATAATCCTCAGATTCATTGGGACTGGGGAGAACTACCTCAAGCCACAAAGGTATGTGAAAAGAAACAAGAATGAGATATTACAGATTTTTTTTAAAATAGAACACTTGAAGTTCCTCTTCTGTCTGAATGGGATGTAGAACTCTGAAGTGGCTAATAGATACAGAGGGAAGATGTAGATCAAAGGTGTCCAATTTGATGCGGAGGGCCGCATCAGGATTGGGGGCTGGGTGGGTGTGGCCAGTTCGATGTCACTCGTGTTGGGGGCACCCCTCCCAGGCTCCGTTTTCAACAGCTAGGCCCTCCTGCAGCACTCTGCCAGTGAAAATGAAGCTTGGGAGGTCCCTCCCAAGCTCCATTTTCGCTGGCAGAACGCTTCAGGAAGCTGTTGCAGCTGAAAACGGAGCTCAGGAGGGCCTCACATGATCCTCCCGAGCTCCATTTTCACTGGCAGAGGCACCGTGGGCCCGATCCAGCCCGTGGGCCTTGAGTTTGACACCCCTGATGTAGATATTACCTTAAACCATAGCGTATCATTACTGTAGTGTTAAGAATATTGGACTGTTAGCCCAGTCTTCTACCTGGTGTTTTGCCATGGCTTTGTAGAGAGAACAAGAATCTATTTCTCTTTTAGACACATTTTAGTTAGCTTTAATTGTGGTTTGTCCAAACAGCCAAGTATTGTTCATGGTTTAGATACTTGCTTGTTCAGTTAAGCTGGAGTTAAAACTAAGAATACTTTCTGGTTGATACAAAAAGGATGAAGCCAATGGTGATGCTTCCGTATGTTTTCTTAGCAGTGGCACTTTGAGGAGATGGGAATCAAATGTATGATTGCAAAACTAACGCGTGGTATTGTATTTGTATCATCATCATTTATCCTCTGTCACTTTCTGGAAAACACAATAATTGAATATGTGGAAGGAAGCAAAATTGTTGCCTGGTCTGTGTGGCCTTTAACTTACAAATGGGTTTTTGACTGATTTCCAACACCTCAATTCTGCGCAGAATTTGAGATACTGAATTCACTTAAAATAGTTTTACACGTATTTAGGAGTGTTCTTTGACCAGGATGCCTGATTATGACTACATAACTTCCAAGATAACTGTAAAACCTGGGTTTCCAGAATTATTTCCACGCTTCTAGTGTTCAAAATGTGGATTGAATTACAAGCAGAATATTGGGTCTCTGTAATAAAGAAATCTAATCTCTTACTCTCCTTTTTAACTATTTCATACATGGTCCAGAAGAAGGAGCTGAAGTTATGTTCTGTTTCGGATACTGACAATGATGCTGTCATATCCTCAATAAGAATTCTCAGTACTGTTCCTTCATAGAATTCAGTGCAAAGATTATCCCCCAGTGGCCTTCCACCCTGCCGCTGCCCAGACTAAGGTGGTGCAACTCTGTCAAAATCATGTCATCGTGAGCCTGTACCCCAGGATATAGTAGCCAGCAAAAGTCTAAAAGCATCACACCAGAAAGCAAGGCTGCCTCTGTCTGGAGAATATACTTGCGAGCAAATCCCGATTTGTTTCAGTGCATTTTATGAAATAATCCTAACTGTTAAGAGGGGTTTGCCCTGTGGTATATGAGTGCAGCACAGTTGCTTTCATTCCTCACGCTTTGTGTAATTTTGTGTTCTTTTTTTTCCAGGAACCTTTTTTTTTAAAAAAAAAATATGCCCCTTTCTTTTTCCTTTCTAGACTGCCATCCCACACAAGCCAAAAGAATCCAGCACCTCAGTGACTGTGAATCCTTCTGGAAGCACTCACTTTCGAGTCATCCAGAGTACTGATATGGAAGAGGTTCATCACCTCTCTTCCCTGACTGACCTTGGGCAGGATGAGACGGTGTTGATTGTGGAAGAAATAGAGCTCCTGGCACCCGAAACATCCCAAACAGAGATAGAGACTTTAGGGGCAGCAGCTCCTCCGCTGCCGGCCGGTGAAGAATTAAAGCCAGCCCCAACGTGCTTGATGCAGCCAGCCAGCAAAACAGATTCTCCCTCGAAAAAAAAGGGTATATATAGCACCTTTTGCAACCAAGTATTATTGTCAACAACTTGTTACTAGTGAAACTAACTGGCCTTTCCAAGAAATGAGCTAATGAGGGGAAAAGAGAAAGGAATTTTCCTCCTGAGTCAACAAAAGTGGAATATAGTCGCTTTACATGCAAAGAGGCTTTTCATGCTTTCCCTTCCTTAAAATGGGTGCAGCAGATTCCTTAAGACCAGGGGGACCAAGAGCAAAGATAAGGGCTCAATTCATAGTTTCTAAGCCTTCAAATGGAAAACAGGATACAGGTAGTCCTCGACTTACGACCACAGTTGAGCCCCAAATTTTTTGTTGCTAACTGGAACTTTGGTTAAGTGAATTTTGCCCCATTTTACAATCTTTTGTACCACAGTTGTTAAGTGAATCACTGCAGGTGTTCAGTTAGTAGCACAGTTGTTAAGTGAACCTGGCTTCCTTATTGTCTTTGGTTGTCAGAAGGTCGTAAAAGTGGATAGCATGACCCTAGGACACTGCAACAATTGTCATGAATTTGCAGATAACAGATACAAACCCAATGTAAACCGCTCCAAACTGGATTGCAGAGAGTACGACTTCAGCAACAGAGTGGTCAATGCCTGGGATGCACTACCTGACTCTGTTGTTACATCCTCTAACCCCCCACTCCTTTAACCTCAAACTAAGCACTATTGACCTCACCCCATTCTGTAAGGGGCGTGCATAAGTGCACCATCGTGCCTCCCGTCCCTGTCCTATTGGCTCTGTTTATTCGTACCTATTTCCTGTATTCTTACTCATGTTTATACTTATACCTATTATCTTATAAGCGATTGACAAATCAAAATAAAAAAAATATGAGTCTGTTGTTAAGCATCCAAAATTTGGATCACATGACTATGCGGTCATAAGTGTGAAAAACAGTCATAAGTCACTTTTTTCAGTGCCATTGTAACTTTGAATGGTCACTAAATGATCTGTTACAAGTCGAGGACCACCTGTAAACTGTACTATGAACCATAGGTTTGCTGTAATGGAGGAACGCCTAAATAAGAAAGCAGCCACAAAATTCCATGCTTGAGGTACAACTTTACCTGCTTAATCTCATTTGCCTATCCATTTCTGAACCCACAAAACTTATTCTAATCCGAGTCTCTTATTCCACTGTTATTCTGTGCCACGAGTTTTATTCTCCTCTTTTAATGAATTATGATTTGTTTCTTTTGTACCGTAAGCTCCTGATAAAAGCTGTGGTAAGTGGATCAAAGAAGTTTTTACGCCCTTTTGGTCTTTCAAAGGAGAAAAATGTGTTTGCTTAAAGTGCTGTGCAATAATAAGATTTTGCATTTTACAGATAAACGGAGCCGACATCTTGGTGCTGATGGTGTATATTTAGATGATCTGACTGACATGGAGCCAGAGGTTGCTGCACTCTATTTTCCTAAAAAGTATGCATGCTATAAACTGACATTTACCATTTATAGAAATAGCTTTCTCGGGATCTTGTGTCTCCCATGTATAAAATTCTGTCCTTTGTGCTTTTGAAGAAAATCTGTACTTCGCTGAAATTTGTCTAAAATCACCAAGCCAAAGCTTGGTTTTTTCCCCCTCTTATTAAGACAAATTCATTTTTAAAAAGTGACAAATCGAAAAAATAAAATGAAAGGATCGTGCAAAAAAAATATTTGCTGGAACATTATCATACCTCTTCAGCTCTGGTGATAGATGGGCATCTTTTTTGAACAAACATCAAACATAAAACTCCCAGTGCTATGTTGTTTATTATAAAAATTAGTACCCATTCAAAAGACGCACAGAGAAACTTTGGACTGTACATTGGCTGTTTAAAAAAAAAAAAAAAGTTTTAAGCCACCGGAGTAAGACTCGAAGCATGCATTGAAAGTGATTTTTTTTTCCAAGCATGTTACCTAGAAGCACTTTTATTTGAAGACTAGGGGCTGGACCTCCGCACTGCTGAGGTCGACAGCTCGATTCCCATGAGTGAATAAATCTCAGAGGGACAAGAAAGAAGCCTCCCCCGACTGCCTACCAGCATTCAGGCGTCTCATGGGTAAAGATAACACAGCTTGGAAAAATTCCTTTCACAGCCAGCCAGCCACCTACCTCGGTGATCTTTGGCTAACACGTGCCATACGCTAAATAAATTTAAAACTTTAACAAGTCTTTGAAGGCTTTAAATCACTCAACCAGAGAGATTTCCTGTAGTGATTGCTTAACCTATCAAGGCGGAGAAGTAGGCTAGAGGAGTCAGATGATGAAGTTCATGAGCCCTCTCTGGCTTTGGAAAGGAGTAGAAGTCACTGATTCTTCTTCTCTTCTCAGTGGTGATCATAATCCCCTCTCGAAGAACACGAGTGAAAACAGTCCCCGCTCAGCCAATCAATCCCCTCAATCAGTCGGAAGCTCAGGGGTGGACAGTGGTGTCGAAAGCACTTCGGATGGAATCCGAGACCTGCCATCCATTGCCATTTCGCTTTGTGGCGGACTGAGCGACAATAAAGAAATATCCAAAGGTAATATGCTCAATACCTCCATGGCTCCTATTGTAAAATACTCTTAATGCCTGGCTTGAATGCTCCGACCCCCCTCCATGAAAAAGTGTATAGTGACCTCTTGTGGATATTGCGTGGTAAGGCATGTGTGACAGAAGAGGGACAATCATCCTTCCTTTAAAGAATATTGCGCATAATATGGTGTCCTTCGTTCAGTATTCCCCCGCTCGTCCAGCAGCTGTTAAAAATTATGGCAATGCTGAACGAAGGAACTGATGAGCTGAAGTTACGGGTGTTGCAGAATCCCTGAAATCAGAATAACGAAGATAATGAATCAGATAATGAAAATTTGGGTGTTTGGCAGTCCACCTGCCCTTATGACCAACTGCAGGGGTGCTGCAGCTCCTCCCACCTCCTGTCTCTCCCATTTATGCCTGTGAACTCCTGGGAAGCTCCAAAAGCCAGCCTGAAACAGCCACCCCTCCTCACAAAGGGCCAAATGTCTGGGAAGTCCCAGCCCAACCTTGCTCTAAGGTTACGCAAGATGCCCCGCTGCCAGTAACCTGGGGAGAAGAAGGCAGGAAGCAGGCTGGCCACATCGTCCTTCCAATCAGTTGTTCATTAAAATGGATGCATTGCCCAAGATAAATTAATCTATTTCAAATCAGAATTTACGAGAAATTCAGTCAGAATTTCTGGCAAAACTTTACAAGGATGGCAAGACACTGTTAGTAAATTCATGTGGAGAGGAGAAAGACGCACGAATAAGCAAAACATTCTACAAGGCTTTAAAGAGAGTTGTGGCCTTGCCATTTTGAATTGTACCATGAAGATGTAGTGGTTAGAGTTACCATCAGAGTGTCTTAGTAGCTCCACTGGTGCCGAGAGTGATGGTAGGACCTTTTAGTAGGTAGGACCCTCTGCCAGATAAGCCAAAAGGGTGGTGATGGTAGTAATGAAGGTAATTCTCAGTGGGGGTGAAGACAGGTGGGGCTCTGTGGCTTTGAAGGAAGCTAACACAATCCACAAAGAGAGCCTTTTCTGTCATGACGCCCACCCTCAGGTATGTCATTCTCCCAGAGATTAAACTTGACCTTACTAGCTTTCCATAAGGCCCTAAAGATCTGGTTCTGCTACTGAGCCAGGGATGTATGGTTGAGCCCATGGCATAGCTTTGCTAATTATAAGAGCTGTGGTGGTGCAGTGATTAGAATGCAGCACTGCAAACTACTTCTGCTGACTGCTGATTGCCAGCAGTTTAGCAGTTTGAATCTCACCAGGCTCAAGGTTGATTCATCCTTTCGAGGTCGGTAAAATGAGGGCCTAGATTGTTGTGGGCAATTGGCTGACTCTGTAAACCACTTAGAGAGTGCTGTAATGTGCAACGAAGCAGTATATGTCTGTATGCTATTGCTATTCTGGCTGGTTTTATTTCAGCTGCTATATTTGCTATTTATTGTGTTGGTTATGATGTTTTGATCCCTTGTTAACCACCCTGAGTCATGTTTGAGATAGGTGGCAAAGTAAATTGAATAAAAGCTCAATTAGCACAGTGAGGAGTAAGAATTTGAAAATCAAACTGGAAGAAAGCAATGTGAAACGGGTGTCTATATTGTAAGACCATCACTGTTAGTTTTATAATCCAGGAAACACTAATGTTTTACAAGCTTTATACTTATAAAGATGCAGTGATGGACAAACTGAATAGTTGACTAATTATAAGAGGTGCTAACATAAGAACATTCTTATATTAGTTCTGCTAATAGGTTTAGAAGGGCAAAGTATAGAGAAATGGAGGAATTTGAAATTATAGAAAGATAGTTTTGCAAAACTTTGTGAAGAGAATCTGTTTCCAGCATCTGCTCCAAGGATAAAAATAGCCTCTATACATGGACATCATCAAATACAAAACAATAGAATCATGTTAACCAGATAATAGGAAACAAAGAAGGAGAAATACAGTGTAGTAAGCCAGAAATTTCTGTGTGCAGATTGTGAAACAGACCATAAACTATTGGTACCTTGTTTGCATAAATTAAATTTAGACAATTGAACAAGATTTGATTCAGTTAATTAGAATGTAAAATCAATTTAAAGAACAAATTCAATATGTGAAAGAGAACTAGAAGAGCTATATAAGGAATTGAGACATGTAGTGAAAACCAAATTGCAAAAAATATCCCTAAAATTTAAAAGAAAAAAAGTTCTAAATGGCTTTTAGAGCAAGCTATTTAAATAACCAGAAAAAGATGAAGGATGAAAGTCTTGGAAGGATATATGCAACCAAATGCACTCTTCTGGCATGAAGCAGGAGAAAACAAAGAAACATTCAATCCTTTGTCAACAGCTAAAAATAATCAAGAAAAAGAAAATGAGATAAGCTTTTAAGAAGTTCAGAGAAAAAACGAAATGTATGGCTAATGTAGGAGTAAACACAGAAGAAATCTAATAGAAGCGAAAGAAGTTATAAGAAAATGGAAGGACTACACTAATACCTTTTATAGCTAAGATTTCAGAATGACAGATTTTTTTTTTAAAGAATACAGTCAGGAAGCTACTCCATGGGAAAGTGATCCATGGCAGGTAATAGGAAAGTAAGTGCAGATGAAATTGCCAGTGAATGGTTTAAACTTGCAGAAGAGGCATTTTAAGTGCTAAAAGTGGACTTAAATATGAAGCAATATTCATTTGGCTCAAATACTGGTACATTCCAGAATAATAACTAAGCCAGAGAAGGGGGATGCAAACCTATGTGTAAATGACCAAACAATTGCAGTGATTTTTTAAATATTTTTTTTTACTTAAGATCTTACATGGAAGAATAGACCCACATGTGGAAAGATGAGATTTTTGTAAAAGAGAAATAAGCCAAATACGAGGAAAGGTGCAAGAGAATTCAAGAAGGAAGTTTATCTTTTGGTTTATCAACAGCAAAAATGGACTTATACCAGATTGGTGAATCTGCTGGAAATATTTTTTATTTTTCTGAGGAGTTCATGAGAAGAGCTGAGTTTGGGGGAACCGAATAAAATAGGAATGGAAAGGCAAACTTGGAAAAAATGGTGAAGCTTAAGACATTTCAATGACAGCAACCGTCAGAACAGCTAAAGCAGGGCTATCAAACTCCTGGCCCATGGGCCAGATGCATCATGCGCTGGCCATGCCCATGCCCTGTTTAGTGAAGGGGGGAAAAGGTCCCGAATACGTCATGTGACACTGCCGTGACGACATGAGTTTGACACCCTTGCCCTAAAGTAATGATCTCTGGTAAGATCAGTTGTGAAACTTGACTGTTTAGAAAGAGCAAATTATGGATTGGGAAATCATTACTAAGAGAAAAATAAGTAGACCTAATTAATCAAATTTAGATCAAATAAAGGCAGGCAGCTCTCCTGAGCTTGTGATATAAGCAGAAAAAAATGGGTATGTGTTTGGCACAGCTGAATAAAATAAAAGATGGGAAGTTGGTTAAACAGGTTCAAGGAGATTGCAGAACCCTCTATAGAAAAGCTGTTGTTTACTGCAGGTTGAGATATAGATGACTTGTCCATGCAACTACCAGAAGCATGTGACTAATCATTTAGCAATTTACACACTCCTCTAAGATGTTTATCTTGGTTCTTGCTTGGTTCTATTTTAAAGGGCACCATTCACATTGATTCAAATTAGTATGTGCAAGGTGACTTTATTTATTTTTTAATTTATAAAAGTACAACTTAGGTGTACTTTTATCCGAAACCAACTCCTGAATTGCAACAACCATCCAGGAGTTGGTTTCGAATTAGGAAATTAATTGTACGTTGCAAGGAGTCTTATCGCCAAAGTTATGTGACTGGCCATAGCCTGTATGTACATATCTTTCTTTTCAAATAAGATTCATATTTCAGTTTTATAATTGCCTGAACACAAATTTATTCCCATCTGTGATTCAATCTAACTCCACATTCAGTCTGAGATTTTCTCAAGACTAGTCGGGACAGACTATTCCTAAAGCTGAAGGTGTAAGTTCATCGGCTGGAATTCCTACAAATAGATCCAAGGTGGGTAGAGTCTACTTCAAGCAGCATTTTCTGCTTCGTTTTTTATGGGAATTTTCAAGCAACAGGCTTTATACAGTATTCTTTTTCTCCTAAAACTATGCTGTGCCAACTACCTGAGATTACAGGCTCCGAAACTGCTTTTGTGCTTCTGTGGTTTCGTAAAGAGGCTAATTCTACAATATATTTCAAGCGCTATTTTAACCTGCTACTTGAGGTTCATTCATGGTTTTTTCCCTCCTTCCAAACAGAAAACTTTTTAGAGCAAGAAGTCTCTTATCAGCAGTTTGTGGACAACCCAGCTATTATTGATGATCCTAACCTTGTGGTGAAGATTGGAAACAAGTGAGTACAGCTTAGCAGAATAAAATGTGTGCATTTTGTTTAAAAAAAAAATCCCCACTGACAGGAATGCTTGAGAGCAAACAGGTTCGAAGAGATCTAGAGTGGCTTGAGCAATCGGTTGAAATTAACAAGATGGAACTTAAAATAAAGAAATTAAAGGTTCTGCACCTGGCTAAGAAAATGGAAGGCACAGTCTATAGCAGGGCTATCAAACTCCTGGTCCGCGGGCTGAAGGCATCACTCGCTGGCCATGCCCACGCGCGGTTTAGCGAAGGGGGAAAAAGTCCCGATACATCATGTGATGCCGCCGTAACGACGTAAGTTTGAAACCCCTGGCCTATAGCTTAATGACCATTTGTTTAGTGATCAAAATTCATTGATAAAATTATAGCCCTGACCAGTTTTTGATGTTACAACCATTGCAGCACCCTTGTGATCATGTGATCCACATTTGGGCACTTGGCACTCTGCCCATATGGAATATGCTTCAATTCTCTCCCCCCCACCTCTACCTTTTCAGATGTCCTGCTGCCCCTGCTGACCTTTGCCATCTTCTAAGCAATAGTAATAGCACTTAGACTTATCTAATTCTTTACAGAATTAAGCGGTTTACAGAGTCAATATATTGCCCCAACAAACTGGATCCTCAGTTTGCCCATCTCGGAAGGCTGAGTCAACCTTGAGCCAATGAGGTTCAAGATTGAGCTATTGCTATTGCTAAAAGGGAAGAGATGGGTTGCAGGGAGTTAAAGCCAAGACAGGCGTGCCATGGCAAGAGAAGCATGAGATCTTCACCCAACAACAGCAGAGTCCTGGCCTAATGACCGCAACCAGGAGTATTAGAACTGCTGTCATGAAGTGGTGCAATGGTGAGGTTATATGTAATGACCGCTTCACTTAATGATGAAAAGTTCCAGTCCCAATTCGGGTTGTTAAATGAGGACTATCTGTAGGACTTACAATAATTCATGGGATAGGGATCTGGTCACCTTCAAGCCAGCAATGTGATGCAGCTGCTAAAAAGGCAAATGCTACACAGGAGTGATTTGCAGGATTATAGAGTCCAGATCATTGGAAGTAATTGCCTTGGTTTGACTCCCTATAAAATACTATGTTCAGTTTTGTTCACAATAGTTCAAAAAGGACAGTGGCAAATTCGAGTGAGTTAAGAGGGAAGCCACAAAGATTAGTAAATAGTTCAGAAAGCAAGCCACTCGAGCAATAGTTAAAGGTTATGTTTAACCTGCCCAAAAGATGTATAAGAGAAGATAGGATAGTAGCCTTCAAAATTTGAAAAGCTGTTACATCGAAGAGGGGGTAGAGTTATATTCTATAGCATTAAAAGGCAAGGCCAAAGCCAATTAGTTAAAAATATACACGTAGGAAGATCAGACTAGATATCAGATGGAACTTCCTGATTGTATGAACTATGGAAATAAGAAGCAGAAAGAAATGGTCAATTCTCATTTAAGAGCTGTGGTGGTGCAGTGCAGGCTAGTTCTGCTGACTGCCAGCTGTCAGCAGTTCGGCAATTTGAATCTCATCAGCTCAAGGTGGACTCAGCCTTCCATCCTTCCAAGGTCGATAAAATGAGAACCCAGATTGTTGCTGGGGCAATAGGCTGACTCTGTAAACTGCTTAGAGAAGGATGTAAAGCACTGTAAAGCGGTATATAAGTTTAAATGCTCTTGCTATTTGCTAGTGGTTTTCACTTATAAGCTAGATTGTCATCTATCAGAGACGATCTAGTAGAGCCTGCATTGCACAAAGAGGTGTTGATCTGGTCCTTTCCAGTTCTATGATGCTGTTTCCATCATAGCGGACATAGTGAATGAATTTCTTTCAGAGAAATAAAACTCGACCAAGAATTGGTTTAATTTGCATTTTAATCTGAATTCACTTACCTGCACCAAAAAGGCACATCCTTCAACTTTTTAACTTGCCCATGTTAGAAAAATATTCATGCGAGTTTTATGTTAAAAAATATGCTTTAGAAGTGCCTATTCTGAGGATTAAAAATGGATGAAATTAATTGAAGATTTTTTTGGGGGGGGGGGGAATAAAATGCTAAGTGAAATCTAATTTGATATCCATCTCTATATAGGCACATTTATATGTGGCATATTAAAATTAATATTAATGTAATGTAATGCCTGAAGTGTTTTAATTAAATGCTCTGGTGCCAACTTTTTCAGTAGAAATAGTTGCTTCAAGTTCTTTGATAATTTATGTATGTATGTATTTATATCTTGAAATAATAAATATTTCAATGTGGCGAACATATCCAACACAATATCCTCTTCCTATTGTCCTCACCACCAGCCTTCTGAGGTGGGTTGGGCTGAGAGAGAGTGACTGGCCCGAAATCACCCAGCCGGCTTTCATGCCTAACTAAGGCAGGACTAGAACTCACAGTCTCCTGATGATTGGCCCAAAGTCATCTAGCAGCCTTTCACGCCTAAGGCTGGATTGGAACTCATAGTCTTCTAGTTTCTAGGCGAACACCTTAACCACTAGACCAAACTGGCTCTAATCTGCATGTTTAAATAATAGTTATTAAATAAATAATTTGCGTGTTTCAAGGATTGTGTATAAATATTGTTTTGCCTCTCTTAGATACTACAACTGGACAACAGCAGCTCCGCTCCTCCTGGCAATGCAGGCATTCCAGAAACCTTTGCCAAAGGTGAGATTGACCATGCCAGCCTCTTTGGCAAAGGTCCTTGCTCTCCTTGTCTAGCCAGACCCCCCTGTATGTTGTAGTGTTACCCCTCCCACCCCACCTCATCCTGGTTTCTGGTTTCTTCTGTCCCTGACTAGTATACAATTGTGGCTCATTATGGGGCAATGTAACCTTTTCGCTTTCTTTTTCTAGCAGTCTTTTTATTCTTGGGTTAAGAAGGATGGCAGAGATAGAGGTTCAGACAATATTTTTTTTTTTAAAAAAATAGCAGAGTTTCCAAGATAACATTTAGCCATTTCCTATTGGAAAGTAAAATTATACCTGTGACATTTATTCTAGTTAAAGGTACATAAGAAGTATTTGGGTAGCTCAATAATTATATGAATTTGGGGCCATGAATTGGCGCTTTGTAGATTTTCTAAATTTTGCATGAATTTGCAATTTTGTTTTCAGAGCCATTGTTTGGGATGGATTAAATAATTTGCCTTCAGAATTATTTGTTTGAAAAGAGAAAGACAGCCTGGATTAATCTATCTCTGTCACTGTCTCTATCTTTCTATGTCTCTACCTCTATCTTTACACCTACCTACCTACCTACCTAACCCCGACCTGAATAAAATGAAGCTTGGAGCTTTATAATATTTTGTTGTAGGTTATCCCCATGTCGAGATGTATGCTATCAGGGGAAGAAACTCAGAGTTTAGTATGTCAGCCTTCCTGACAGGAAACACAAGTAGATGACCTAAATCTACTTTATTATATTAATAGGAACTTGTAAGTCTGAAAGCTCAGGTGACTCATCATCGCTTTGACCCATCTGATCAATGAGGACAGACAGATTCTTCCTGAGTTTCTTTCTCTGATCATTAAACTCTTGGGGGCTCCTCCTCCTCCTGTCTGATTGTTTCCTGGGCAGTACCTCTTTCTTTCATCCCTCAAGATCATCTACACATTCTGTTAAGCCTAACTCTTGCATATAAAATCTCTTACTCCCTTCTGAACGAATCGATTTCATTAGACACACTTCTGTCCACTTAGAGGTCTATTGAGGTCTTCCCTGTAGACTGATAGTGACCTAAAAATCTATCCCATGGTAGCCCTTAATTTGTTTAATATTTGATGAAATAATGGAGTCAGCAGCATCCTTTTGGCTCACTGCTTATTGATTGATTGATCTGTCCAGTCAGTAAAGTTCCAACAGATAAATTCAAGCCAGGTTTTGCTACCCGCTTTCACTTTTCCTTACAACATCAAATGCACAGGTGGTATTCAGCAGGTTCTGGAGAACCGGTAGTGGAAATTTTGAGTAGTTCAGAGAACCAGCAAATACCACCTCTGACTGGAGATTTTACAGTATGCTTCTTCTGCCACGCCCACCAAGCCACGCCAGTGGTGGGATTAAATTTTTTTTACTACCGATTCTGTGGGCGTGGCTTGGTGGGCGTGGCAGGGGAAGGATATTGTAAAATCTCCAGTCAGAGGTGGTATTGCCAGATCTCTGAACTACTCAAAATTTCCACTAGCGGTTCTCCAGAACTGGTCAGAACCTGCTGAATACCACCTCTGAGCCACACCCACAGGACCGGTAGTAAAAAATTTTTTGAATCCCACCACTGATCAAATGGCGTGAAAAGTGCAAAGATCATTTGACAAATCAAACCGACTATAGCAGTTTTGTGCTAGTTCCATTACTGAATTCAAATTCACCAGAAATTTGTGCTTAATCCTCTTCCAGACCAATATACCGCACAGGTAGTCCTTGCTTACTGACCACTTGTTCAGCAACCATTTGACATTGGGATGGTGCTGAACTAATTAAAACTTACAACTGTTTCTGTAGAGGTTCCAGCCATCACACAATCTCCGTGTCATGGGATTGCGACTTGGACACTTGGCAACCAGCTTCTTCTTTCGACTGTTGCAGTGCCCAGTGGTCACATGATCCCCATTTGCAACCTTCTCTGCCAGCTTCCTACAAACAAAGTAAATGGGAAGCCAACCGGGAAGGTTGCGAATGGCTCTGCTAAGTCTTCCCCAGCCTTTCTATGTTTGCATGGCGCAGTGCCCAGCTTCCCCAGCCTCCCTTCACTCCTGCGGCATACAAGTAGTCCTTGACATATGGCCACAATTGAGCCCAAAATCTCTGTTGCTGACTGAGACATTTGTCAAAGGGAGTTTTGCCCCGTTTTAAGAACCTTTCTTGCCAAAGTTGTTAAATGAATCACCGCAGTTGATAAGTTCGCAACATGCTTGTTAAGTGAACCTGGCTTCCCCATTGACTTTGCTTGTGAGAAGGTTGCAGAAGGGGATTGCATGACCTTGGGGCGCAGCAACGGTCATAAGTATGAGTCCGTTGCCAAGCGCCTGAATTTTGATCACATGACCCTGGAGATGCGGCAAAGGTCAGAAGTGTGAAAAACGGTTGTAAGCCACATTTTCCGGTGCTGTTGTAACTTTGAGAGGTCACTAAATGAACTGTCGTAAGTCAAGGACTACCTGGACTGCTTTGCCCGGCCTCCTGTGCTTAGACTGGCAGCCCATCCTCCTTCTCCCAGCCTCCCTGCACTTGCAGATGTCCTCATCTGGGATTTCTGCTGCTTCCTGCTTAATGACCCACATTTCTTGGGGTTACTATGTCATCTGGGATTGTTGTTCCTAAGAGATGCAGTCACTTTATGCCCACATCGCTTAGGGACAGTAGTTTTGGTCCCAGTTATTGTTGTAACCCAAGAAATGTGGGTCATTAAGCCTATAAGTATTTCCTGCACCCCATCGCTCACAAAGGACTGGATCTCCATATTCCTGCTGTAAGCCTGCAAGTGAGATCCAGTTGCTGATCTTCAAGCCCCATCTGCTATAGCCAATCCTTAGAGATGATGGGATTTGTAGTCCAGCTTCTGGTTCTCCCACTGCTGCAGCCTCTGTGTGGAATGTGAATCTGAACTGATTTAAAGCAGTGGCCTTGGAGATAAAGGAGAGATATGAATTGTTGCAGGGTTTTTGGATGGCTCGTCTACCTGTGTAGATTGTAACTTTCATTAGGTAATTAAAATCTGGTGAATTATCCAAAGCATTTTAATGCATTTTAGGATTGATCCTTGTGCATTTGAATATATTGGATGTTAATTTTATCTTGATCTAAGGAGAAAATATTTGTTTTGATTAGAATAAGAAATCACCTGTATCTATATAAATTCACTGTTAAACATATTGTGTTAAGACGGTATCTTTCATTTCAGCAGTTTGTAGCTATCAGATTGCTGTGTTAATGCTAATGTTTCATTCAACCATTATCATTTAACCCTTTTCTAATAATTATTAGAGGATAGTGAAACATACAGCTATTAATTATTTTTATGAAAGACAGCTGGGCTGATTTCCTTGCAAATAAAATGTCTTTTTATAATTTATACTAAACAAAATTAGTGTTTCTTTCTCCCCACCTTTTGTGCATTACACTAAACTTATTATGCCCTTTTTGTTCCCATTTTTTCTTTCCTATTTTTCTTTGTTGAATTTTTGAAGTCTTCTTGTTTAAGTTATTTCCGTGCACTTGTGGATACCATTAGGCTTTGCTTTAACAAGATTTGTAGCCCACAGATAGTATGTTTCCTTTGACTTGCTTTGCCTCAGTTTAAATTGTCTCTGTGCTTGTTTTTTTTGGGTTGTGTTCTTTAAGAAAACCTTTTGTTTGCATGAATTCAATTATTTTTTGTTTAGTTCCATTATTTATGTTACCATCCATTTATCACAGGCCACTGTGGATTCTATAATGAGGGATAAGATGCCCAAAAAAGGTGGAAGATGGTGGTTTTCATGGAGAGGGAGGAATAACTCTATCAAAGAGGTAAATCTGGAACTACCCTGAATTTTTCTTCTAGGCTTGTACACACACAAACAAATGCACACACACACACACACACACATGCATACACACACACACTACACAAGCCCATTGCATGAAATCTGTGACTTGTCGACTCTCCTTAAAGAATCCAGATTTAACAAAATGAACTGCTGAATGCTAAACACTGGCATTGTTTTACTTGTTTGTTTGGGATCCTATTTGGGTGATAAACAGAATGTAAACTTTACAGGTAGTCCTCGACTTAATCACAGTTCATTTAGTGACTGTTCAACGTTAACAACGGCACTGAAAAAGTGACTTACGGTAGTTTTTCACATTTACGACCATTGCAGCATCCCCACAATCCTGTGATCAAAATGCAGGTACTTGGCAACTGACTCATATTTGTGACGGTTGCAGTGTCCCCGGGGGGCATGGGATCATCTTTTGTGAAATTCAGATAAGCAAAGTCAATGGGGAAGCCAGATACACTTAACAATCGTGTTACTAATTTAACAACTGTAGTGGTTCACTCGACAACTGTGGCAAGAAAGGTGCTAAAATGGGGTAAAATTCACTTAACTAATGTCTCGCTTTCCTACAGAAATTTTGGGCTCAATGGAGGGCTACCTATTTTTGCAGATTCTTAAGCCATACAGGGTGCCACAAACAAAGATTTCCAGGAAGCTGGTTATTGTAATTCTTGGTACAACATCTCACATTCTTTCTTCAGCATCTCAAAGCTGGTCAATATTATTTTCCTGAATAGTATTCAAGTATTCACCGTCAATACTCTAAAAACACACTTGCTGGTTTGGTGCATGAGCCATCTGATTAAGCATTTTAGCTCCTGCAGGGATTGCCAAAATGATGATGGGAGATTTTGAAGAAAGGCAAATGAGTATGACGGCCAGGCCCTTTTATTATTCTCTAGTAGAAAGACAGTAGACGTAGATAGTCCATTTAGCTAATGGTATACAATGATTACACAGAATAATGCAGTTGCAATTCCCCTCTGTATTGTTGCCAAGGAAACCCCATGGATGTATCCATGAAGTCGTCAATAAGTCGAGTTACATTCAGTCTTACCTTTACTTTTTACTTATCATTAATATTCCCCATTAAACTTTAGAAGTTGGTCCAGGAAGAAATTATTAATCATAATAAAGCTCCTTATGTGAATCACCGGAACAAATGTTTCCCTCATAGCTGGATAAAACAGAACTATGGAGGCCAGTAAGAATGGATTTTGTAATGGAATAGTGCAAAAAGTGTGTTAATTTTGGCTGTAGTTTGGTTTTCTTCAAAGTAGAAAGACAATGGACTGTGCAAAATATTCACATACTATTCCTCACCCATTTACATTTTACCCACAGGAGGCAAAGCCAGCACAAGGTCTCAATGGAAAAGAAGAGAAGAGTATTGCAGACAGGTATTGACCATTGCTATCCTGTTTTTAATTTTTTTAAAAATTATCTTATTTATCTATTCAAAAGGGTAAGAAAATGCCTTCTGAGTTACATAACTGAATAAGTTTTGAATCCAAATCTGTTAGACCTTTGTTATGGTGTCTCTTTCCAAATGGTTTCAAACTTATTTCACTGACAAATTTATTGGGGGATTTTGCCAGATGAAAATTCTTGGTTTGTTCTGGTAGCATAGTTGTGACAATCGACTCTATTTGTCTCTGCTGCTACTTTACTATTTTATTACTTTTATAGAAAGTTTGACAGTTCTGGGAGCTCCAACAAATACCAAATTATGAATAATCAGAGGCAGAGATAAATGATTGTGAATTATATCCGTATGATTTAGAGCCTGTGTGGTTTAATGAGGGAAGTAACAGGCTAGGATTGCTGAGACTGGTGTCCATATCAGGCAGGAAAGAAGCTAACTGGGTGATCTTGAGAGCCAGTCACTCTTTCTTGACCTGGCATCCCAAAGAGAATTCATTTGTCATACATAAAATAATCAACAAGGGCTGAGGAGTAATATTTATCAACCTGTCGTCCCACTGAGATGATACAGAAAAGAAATGTGAGCATTCTGTGTCTGATGTTTCAGAATCAAAGATGATTCTTCTTCAAGTGATGAAGATCACCGAACTAAAAGCGAAACCACCCACCTTCCACTGTTGTCCGGAATAGGTTATAAAAAGAGCCTTCGGCTCAGCTCAGAACAGCTGGTAAGTGACATTTGTCATCAGGATTCCGCCCCATTATCATCACGCAGAATCCAGATAACGAGGGAGTTCCCAGTAAAGGATATCCTCAGGTATCACTTGCTTACAAAAGAAGAAGAGGTCATTGATTGGTAGTCCAGCTGGCCCAGTTATGTCCATGGTAGTAGGAAAGGAATCCTGTTAATTGAACTGTAGCGGAACAAAACAGTCAAATGACATCCATTAAGAATGGAGTAAAAGGGAACAAACTGACAGGTTGAGAAAAATCAGTAAAATGTACGGGTCCTTTAATACATACATTTCTTTTTCTGTCTATGGAGATTCTCAGTTATCCAGGTCATGGTTGTCCCAAATGTAGTGTTCAAAAGGCAGCTGTACTTCCTTGGTTTTTTCTTTGAAAATCTTTCACTTCTCATCCAAGAAGCTTTTTCAGTTCTGAAGAAGTTTCTCGGATGAGAAACAAAACATTTTCAAGGAAAAAAATCCAGCTGCCTTTTGAACAGCACTTTTGGGGTTTCTTTCTCTTGGTCCTGGGAATTTGTTTTCTTCTTCTTTGAGGTATGCGTCAACATATCTTTCTTATGGTGACATATCTTTGCTATGGTGTAGAGTCTGTTTTCCTTCTTGAAAGAAAGCACACTGGTTTCTAGTGGCTGAGGTGCCAGCTTCAAAGATGCCACTTTGATTTTGCCAAAAATATGCTCTGTCAATGAGCCATGGGCCCTTCTGCCTTTATCAAGTTAGTGAAAGATTTTGTGTAGTCACTATGCCAAAAATTGGCACCTGAATTGGCACTCTGAGGGACCATCTGTGGAATCTTTTGCTGCCTTGTGAAGCAAAATCTGGAATTTAGAACAGAACAGAATTCTTTATTGGCCAAGTGTGATTGGACACACAAGGAATATGTCTCCAGTGCATAAGTTCTCAGTGTGCGTGCAAGCAACAAGTGATAAATCGTGATCATAATCATAAATAATTTAGGCTGATCTGAATATTTTTTGTAAAAGGAGGAAAGAGAAGCTGAGTATTTGCACTGTAATTCTGACTGACAGGAAGAGATTCTTGATTGTTGGTGGACATGGGGCATAATTTTCAGAAAGAAGGAGTCCAGCTTGAGTCTTCCATCTTTTTGGCTAAGGAGACTTCTTTGATAACATCATTTCATTCTTTAAGCTCAGCACTGAATACAAGCAAAGGAGGCATCTTGCTTTAACCAAAGTTGGTGTTTTAAGTGTCTATAAAATGTTATTGGAAAAGCCTAACATGATTACTATCTGCATATGCCAAAGTTACCTATAGCATCAATGAAGTTTTCCTGAGGGATTTTATCTATCATGGCTTTGTACACTAGTGGACTTCCCCCTTGTAGGTTCTCTTAAGGCCTAATTAAAATAATTCATTTGTTGGTGTAGAATGAAATATTTTCCTAACATTAAGTTTATGACCATAAATTGTTAGCTTGGAAGCTGTAAGTAAAATTGCAGCTTCATTTGAAATACAATTCCACATATATTTCCTTCAAAGTAAGTTTAAATTCTAGACTTTATTTTTTTTTTTGACAGAAAAATCTCAACCTTAAAAATGGTCCCAATGATGTCACTTTTAGTGTCACAACACAATATCAAGGAACATGTCGCTGTGAAGGCACCATTTATTTGTGGAACTGGGATGACAAAGTCATTATTTCTGACATTGATGGCACCATCACAAGGTGAGTTTTTAGCCAGACACAGAATGGCACGTTTCTGTTCAGGGAATACTATGTTCTGCTCGCTCTGATAAGACAAACCAACAGTGATATTTTTACTTTAAAATGAACAGCAAATATTAAAAGGTTGGCTATTTCATGATTTGTGAAAGAGAAACAAACATTAAAGATTTCCTTTGAAGTGTCCCGTCTGTTTAGTGTGGTGGAGTCATGTATATTCATTTCACTTAAGGATCAAACTACTCCAAGCAGCACATTGATGGCACAGTCTGTGCTTTACAGCATATAAAAGCACTTGGCCATTGTCAAACATCAGACAAAGTGGGGATGCCAGCTCTTTGCTTCTGTTATGTGATACAAGAGTGACACAAAGAAGTAATAGTGGCTTTTTGCCAATCTGGCTGAAGTGATAGGAGAATGTGTTTTCCTCTTCTTTTATATGCCAGACAGTGGCCAGCTGCAGGACATACTTATCCTAAGAGTGAAATGTTGCAGGAGGTGCAAGTAGAGTTTCTTGGTCTTTCACAGCCTAGGAAATCAGTAGTTGCAGTTCTTCTACATCTTCTCATTTGGTTTGTTTATTTTTAGTATTCATTTTAAAACATTCTTTAATCATTCCTGTGCATTCTTTTATTGCTGAAGTCAGAGCTGTGATTTTTTTTCTTTTGTCATGCTAAGCCATAGGGTCATTGAATTAAGCACAACCGGCTGAATTGACGTGGTCATGGTTTATAAATGGCAGTGGATAGGTTTACACAATATGCAAAAAAAAAAAAAATCCCCTCCCCTATGCCAAAATTTAGAATGACATATGTGGGAAGTGTCAAGAATTGCTGCTTTTTATAGCAGGTCTAATAATGATTTTTTAAAATCTACATTAACCTTAACTTTGTCGTACTGCAGTTATCCATGCCACCCAAATCTCAGGTTGTGTTATTGTCACTCCAAAAACCTTCTGCTTTTCAGCAGCACCCACTCTTTTATCCAAAAAACAAGTTACAAATATATAGTTTCTTCTTCTTTTTTGTACTTTGCAACACTTTATATTTAACTTGTATTTTACCCCCTCCGTCACACAAATTTAGTTATATTCTTCTAGATTGTTTAAACGGTGTATCAGTTGTCAAAAGTGATGTTTTGGTTTGCCTGACACAAAAACAATGTTCTAGGCAAACGATTCATCTTAATAATACAAATTCTCCTCAGCAATAACAATTGTAGTTTGCTTCATGTTAACATATCTTTTCTAACATTCTATGTCTTAACATAGTTATTTTGAAATAATATATACCGTATATACTCGAGTATAAGTCGACCCGAATATAAGCCGAGGCACCTAATTTTACACAAAAAAACTGGGAAAACTTATTGACTCGAGTATTTGCTCCAGCGGCGGCCTTCCAAGCCGTGGCCTTTCCCTTCCCGAGGTGACGCGGGACTGGGGCCGCTCCGGCGGCAGCGACTCCCAACAGCCCCAGCCGGGAAGGGAAAGGCAAAAAGCGCTTTGCCTTTCCCTTCCCGAGGCGGCAGGACTGGGGCCGCGCCGGCGGCAGCGACTCCCAACAGCCCCAGCCGGGAAGGGAAAGGCAGGCGGCGGCGACTCCCAACAGCCCCAGCCGGGAAGGGAAAGGCAGGCGGCGGCGACTCCCAACAGCCCCAGCCGGGAAGGGAAAGGCAAAAAGCGCTTTGCCTTTCCCTTCCCGATGCGGCAGGACTGGGGCCGCGCCGGCGGCAGCGACTCCCAACAGCCCCAGCCGGGAAGGGAAAGGCAGGCGGCAGCGACTCCCAACAGCCCCAGCCGGGAAGGGAAAGGCAAAA